TTATGTAGTTACATATTCAAAACCCAAGTACTTTCCAAATATGGAAAAAAACATTAAAATTTCAAGACTTTAAAGCACCCACGGGGAGTCCTGTAATCTAAGAAAACCTCCCTCCCTACTTCCCGCTCCTTCACTCTCGCCAACACGTCGTCCATATGAGGGATATGATTGCCAGAGAAAAATGACTCAGCTCTCCGTCTGTTCGCCCGACGTCACGAAGACGTCGGCAGCATCCGCCTCGCTCATCACATTTAAATAGACATGCTTGTGTAACCCAAGACAGCAATTACACAGCATTGCAGCACCTCGAGGGAAGAGGAGCCTGTGCTGCTGCTACTACTACTACTGAGGTCATTATAGTCATTTGGAATAACGGCAATCCGTCACAATGACTGAAAGTCAGGTCGGTGTAGGGAGACAGTGGCAATAGCCTTTAGTAACCTCCACGCTACTGTGTTCGTATGAATGCCTCTGTATTGCACATAAAACTCAATGTGATCTATCATCTGCATTTAGATGTACTCAGTCGTGTAGCAACCAAGTGGCCTGGACCTCATGTATGGCTTTGCAATAAATTAAACGCATGGGCCTGGACTGCTTCCTGGAATGTACTTCCTGCTACATGCATCTGCCTGCAATCATCAGATTGATGACCTCCTTCTTATAGGGCAAACTGTACAGCCGACAAAGGAGGTTTTGACACACACGCATGGCAGACACATTATTCGATATACGCCTGCGCAGTCATTGCGGTTCGATCCGTCCTGCCATGTAATTCTTAAAACAAGTAAAACAGAAACGTTTATCATAAAAAGTAATTGACTTTGTAAAGAACAAAATAGACTGATGGGAAAACACATCTCACTCCTGATCTTATACTACTACTGTAGCTACTGTAATTAATTGCCTTTTCAAAGGTGTTTGAATGAATGCCATTAGATATGTCAAATCCAAGAAGGGTTGAGTCACTTTTGGCTCTCACACAAAATGTGAACACTTTCCAAATGACACTTCTGTGGCAGGAGTGGACGAGCTGTTTAAAATACAGTAAAAAGAACCAAACACAATAATGTGCTGTTTGCATTGTTCATGAGCTACTTAATAGTGTGAATGCTGAAGATGTCCCATTCAAATGAATGGAAGAAATTCACACACACTGAAATGGTTGCCAACCAGTCGCTGTATGAATGAACACCCATTTCAAATTCTCACACGTACATTACAATTCATTCTTAAAGTATTTCAGTTAGTGTAGCGTTGTTGTGAACCCATACATAATCATAATTGGAATGTATTGACCCAGTTGTGTAACTAAATTATGTAACCAACTTAGAAGAAATTGCTAAGAGTAGGATGCAGTACAATCTACCCACGCATCCATTTTTTTTTTTTTAATAGCGCTGGTCTTCAGTGGGGTCTTGGGTGAGTGAGCTAGAGGCAGGTTAAACCCTGCACCACCAGATCCTGGATCCAGGTGGTCATGCAGGACCTCACTAGTAAATTACAAGCTAAAGATATGAAGCAAAATAGAAAGTGCCGTTTTTGCCCAGTACTCCAAAGTATGACCACAATAAGAAACACAAAATGGACAAATATCTTCTTGACAGTGTCAAAGCAGAAATTGTTTTGTTTTGGATCTCATTAGATGTTGCAGGTATAGCTTGTATTGCAACAAGTGCATGTAAAGTTGTACACGTGAATAATCACATACAGTGAGTATTTAAACTCAAGGCCTGCAGATCCATCCCGCTGCACCATTTTGTCACCAACTGAAGCTAATCAGGCAAATAAAGAGTATCCTTCCTCCTCAAGTTTCCAACTGAATTATTTTATTCCAAAAATCGTTGCTGAAATTGAAATATTTCTTCACTTTAAACAGATTTTAAAAGCATGTGTGTTTTTTTTCCGCATAATCCCTCCTTAACATACATTGAATAATAATTGTCCACTTAAATCTTTGCAAATTTAAAATTCAGGGACAATTGTGGACATGTAACATGATGATATGAAAATATACAGTAGTACATTAGATGGTTTTATAGTCAAAACGGCCCTATGAGGTAGAATACGACGGAGCCGCATTGGAAATGAGTTTGACACCACCGCAGTGCACAGTATGTCCCAAAAGTCTGGTCACACAGCCATTTAACGACTTTGTGGTGTTATTGCAAATATTTCACATCAACCTTGGAATTAAAAACGTTGGAAATCACACTGAACATGTGATTTGTTTAATTCCAGTTGACTAAAATGTTGAACATTGAAAATGTGCAATTTTGCCTGTGTTTTAAGGGCATCCCATTATAATGCCATTTCACAATACAAATCAATTACATGATTTATTAGAAATCATGTAATTGACTTTTCAGGATTCATAATGCAAGAAACCGCATATATCTCATCCATCATCATTACGATGAATGAGGTGAATAGCCTCCTCTTCATCACACGAATTAACAAGGGGAGCGACTTGCATCGCTAGTTAACCTTGGCCACATGACCCCCCCCCCCCCCCCCCCCCCCCCCCCGGCATATCCTCGCAGGAGGCTGCAGGCAAACCGCAGCGGGACAACAGGAGCCATGCATGAGCACACACCATAACACAAGACCGAGCGCAGGAAGACATTCTAGCCGAGGGAATGACTCCAATGTCGCCATACGACGCTCCTGCTTGTTTAACGGGCGTTTCTTTATGCGCCGGAATGCTGTGTTCGCGAGAATACGTAAAAAATACTATGACCACAATAAAATAAAAAGAAGAATAGGCGAGGAGCTACTTGTCTGAACGAGTCAAATGACACACGACCCTCCCCCCACTGCCAAACAATAAGCACGTCCGAGGAAGGAGCAGGAGCCGGAGAGGGTGGGCTTCTGATCCTCATCTTACCTCGCTCGTGTAAGCCCTAAGGTGGATCCCGGCGGTGCGACAGACCGCTCGAACTTTCCGGAGTTGTGGACGGTGCGTGTTTGGCGCCGATCAACACTGATCGATTCCGCTGAGCGCCTTAAAAACACATGACCTCACCCGATCCACTTGCCTACGTTTCCATACGCCTGCTGCTACTGACAGGCCTGGGAGCAGAGGGGAAGCGCACTGCGCATGCGTTGATAGACGTCACGGGTCTACAGAGACACACCCACCTCCATCAGGTCTTCCTTCCGCCCTACCATCCGTCATGCATCTATTCATCCAGAAATAGAAAATAGACTTTACAGTGCGCTGCAAACTAAATACAACACCGATCCAGACTAACAGTTTATAATATTTTATAAGATTAGGTAGTCTGCACTGTGTAATGAGTTTAAATATAAGAATTGTCTCCAAAAAGAGCTTCCTTTACAATGGTAATAATACACACTTATGTCAAAGAAGGTAAAAACATTTTTTGTGGGGAATCGCATGACTGTATTTTCTTTGCTGTGCCAAACAAAAATCTTTTGGGAATACATGATGATTACGACCCATACACACAAAGCGCCAATGTTGCAAAATATTCACAGTACTGCTGACCATTCGCATGCACGCGCGCGCACGCGCGCGCGCGCGCGCACACACACACACGCACACACACACACGCTCCTTGGTGCAAGGTCAACGCTACATGCAATACTCGAAATATAGACCGTTTTCATTTTGACTATTTGTTCCACATTTGATTGCATGGCAATGAAAAGCGCTTTCTGTACTTAAAAGCAACACCCACTTTTCTAGATACACCTGCACTGCATCTAATACGATGGAATTTGATGGAGCTGTGTCAGAAATTCTGCCTTTAGGAAGATAATGATTCTCAGTCTGGATTGACACTTGAGAGGAATTCATTAAAAAAAAAAAACACGACACCCTCCTTAATCAATCAATTAATCCATCAAGAGTTTGATGACCCCCGTAATTTCCCCTGCATTTTCTTTCTTCATTTTAGCAAAGCATTTTGGACATGTCTATAATGCAACTTTTCCCAGTTTCTATTGAACAAGACATGGTGGTCCACAAAGCCATGCTTGAGTTTGGTACAGAATCATTTGCACAATCAATCAAGCTGAACTCAGTCAAACACATTTGGAAATAAACTACAAGTCGCCACTTCATTTGCTCTAATGGGCCATAAAGTGTCTGTCTGGCCCCCAAGCCTTGAGATGGACACCTGTGCATTCATTTAACACTTTTTAGTTTGCAGTAATGAAGAATGCAGTCTCATCTCTGACAATTCGGCTCTCTGGAATGCAAACACAACCACTGAATTAAGTGTTCAATGAATACCTCTTTGAAAATCAATCATCATTGTAAAGGAAGGTTGCTTTCTTTCTTTCTACGAGGCTGTTGCATTGGATCTGCATCGTGCATGTTAGTGTATGTAACGCGGCAGGATGGTCCAATCATCCCTGCAGCCACCCGAATCTCCCCCCCGGTACTCGCTGCGCATGATGCCCCTGCAGGGCCTGCAGAGAGTCGCATAGTAGCGCCACCTGGACGTCCCGGTGCAGACTCCCGCAGTAGGAGCCGTCTTGTCATACTTACCCCTTGTTCCAAGAGACTCCGCAGTGTGATGATCATTGTGCCGGCGCGCACGCAGGCAGCCAGGCAGGCAAGCAGGTAGCCTCTGGCCGAGCTGGTTCGTCCTTCCCGGGGCTCAGGTACGGCGACGCGCAACTCCCGCCCGCCGATTCTCTGCACCGCGAGCCCGTCAGACGGATTAGTTACATCGGCGTGGCTGATCTCTCCCTTCCCGCAATTGGTGCTTCTGACTTGTCGCCGTCAAGCCGCAAGGGTTGATCCAATTATGTGTTTTGCGCCGAGGTGCTAATAATAGAGCAAATTACAGGTTAAAAAAAAGTTTGAGGTGTCGGAGGCAGCTGTAAAAGAGCGACTGAACTGAACAGGGGGGCGGGGGGCTCCATGACCGCTGTGACGCCGCCAGCCTGGAGTTCCGCGCCGAGGACGAGCCGCTCATCCCGGAGAGACGTCGATGCAGCGAAGCGATGACCGGGAGGGTTATTTTGGATGCTTGGTGGTGGGACCACTGAAGACGAACACGCAAAACAACACTGCTGGCTTACATATGTGACCAGGTAAGCCTGCATCTTTGACTGTGGACATCTCACTTGAAATTGAACCCTGTGAAATTTACCTTGAGGCATGACTGTCATCAGGGCCGTTATGTTGGAGTATCTGGCATACATTGTTACTTATAATAAGAAGTTAGTGGACTTACATCCAAGATAGTCCGCGTTTCCTAAAACAGCAGCATCTCTCCTTTGTGTGGCAGCTGTTATGCGCTTGTAAAGTAGCTTATGGATGTCAATAACATGGTGCAGTTGTTGGCCCAAATCAATATGCCACAGTGTGGGCATCTTTAGGATCAAGACCCTGGAAAGTGTGTGCATGTCTCATCTACAGTGCACTTTTTAAATTAGTTTGACTCCACTTATCGCAAGGGTGCACCAACAACAAACAACAGATCAAATGCATTTTATTTGATTTACTCTTCTTCTGTTGTTGTTGTCTGACAGTCCCACTGACATGAGTAAGCGTTTAATAAGGGCCAAAGTAATCAGGTTACTGTTATATTGATAAGGAGTATAACAACACTGCCATCGGAACAGTTAAAGCAGGGGTCCTCAAACAGTGAGTCAGGGTCCAAAATGGAAAATGGAAAGAAAAACACTGCAACATATTCTCTTGCGCATCAGTGATGACCCAGACGTCAGAGAAATATTCGACCTCTGACAAAATAATATAATTTTGTTAACTGCATCCTTAATCAATCAAAGAAATGTAAGTCATATGCCATTATATTATTGTATTGTAATTGATCAGCTTTATTGTAAAACAATTGTTACATTGTTATTTAATTATGGCGTATTAAATTCCAATGATAATGTTTGATTTCCTAGTGTAGAATGCTGCTATACAGTACAAGCATGAGATGACAAGCTAGCACGGGATCATGTCACAAAGCTACACCTCCCTCACAGCCAGCCGGAGGTCACAAGAAAGCCTATTAGGATTTGGGACAAGCAGAGACAGCAGCGGGCAGTGAAACTAATAGATTAAGACAAGGGTGGGCAAGCTATTTCCTGGTAGGAGCCCCTTTAGTTTTTGTTTTTCAAAAAAGTCATTTGAGGGCCATAGTGAATGTATTAAACAATATGATGTAATGATAAAAAATATATCAGTCTATGTTATGAGCATTTGTAGAGCTTTTTTGATAACAGTGACTGAGGTTTCCTTCAACGTTCAAGTATGGAGATGCTTTATTTTGTCTTCTTCTTACCTCATTTGGAAAATAAATGTCAATTTTTGTGCATAATTTGGTGAGTCACGTTGAGGTTATCTTTCACATGACAGCAAATTATGTAGATATTTGTACTGCTTGAAATGTCGGAACACCCAGTATCATCAATCAACGTGCGGCACAGTGGACTAGTGGTTAGCATGTTTGCCTCATAGTTCTGAGGGTAGGGGTTCGACTGAATCTGCGCTCTGGCTTCTTTTGTGTCCACCCACACTCCAATAACATGCTCTATGGGTTCACTGAAAACTATATTTGCCTTGTGCCTGACTGATGACCAGTCCAGGGTTTACCTCGCCTCTTGTCCAGAGTCAGCTGGGATAGGCTCAAGCATACCTATGACCCTAATGAGGACAAGCAATATAGAAAATGGATGGATGCTAAGAGTGTTGTCAGAATGACTGGGTGGGGAAAGAGTGTTGTCCCCTTGGTGCCTTGCTCATTAGCGTCTTGACTAGCATCTCTCCAACATTTATTTTTGGCCCATACAGGACTTGAACCATCCAGATCCAATGGCCTGCACAGATACTGTCGCACAGATCGGTGGCAGGCCATCCATTATTGTGGATCAGGACTGTGTTTGTGTGTGTGTTCAGGTGACACGCTTGGAATGTGTGCAGGATGAGCAGCACATTCGTCACATTAGCGGAAGTATTGGAGGCCCGAGGGGGGCCTCTGCTGGAGGAGGAGGTGTGGGCCCTGCTGCTGGCCACTGGACGGTGTTTAGTGGATGCCTCTGAGAAAGGTAAATCATCATCCTAATGAATATTTAATATTCACAACTGCTAGGCATTGTGTTGGTGCTTTTTTTCCCCCCCAGGTGAAAACAACATGTGCAATATCATAAGCCCCGCCTCCTTGCTACTGTCAGCTACTGGCAGCTTAGCATTTAAGAACTGTGGCCTATCAGAGGAGGCATCGACCTTCATCGCTCCAGAGATGCTGCAGGGCCGTGCCAGCTCAACCAAACCTGCCATAGATAGGGTCAGTGCAAACGTCATCATCGAACTTCACATCACTGCTGGCATAGACGTAACACATGATTATCGCTTAGCATTTGATATCAATCACTCAAAGAGCTCAGATTAGTTAGCATGCCATCTAGTGGGTGCTCATGGATCCTGCACTTCTGATTTGCCATTGCAGAAAGGTCCAAGGACCAAGCACTGCAGTTAATACCAAAATTGTTCAGTCCAAATTTTGAGGATGTTGTTGTTAGAAAGTGGCAAAAGAACTTAAATGATATATGCTTTTGAATGCATATGTCCAACTGTTAAATGTTTCAGGACTTTTTGCACAAGTTGCCGTTCTCTAGCCAGGAGCTCAACGGCAAAATTCACAACAGGCGTTTTATCCTTAAATCGACCAATAAATGTCCCAGTTCAATTACAGCTGTTTTTTAAACAGTCTTCCTGATCATGCTGTTCACATTTTGACATCCTGAGACCAAGACGACTCCAAACAATGGATCAACAGTATCGTACCATTGTGATGCTTCAAACAGGACATGCCCAGACGGAAGTGGCCACTGAGTTTAGAGTGTCACAGAGTGGGTGTGGGTGAAAACACTGAAAATTGAAGATGTTTTCCTTTTGTTGATTTGTATTGCACAGATGCTGGTGTATTCTCTGGGTATGACTCTTTACTGGGCCGTTGATTTTCACCTACCTCAAAATCAGGTGGGGTCACAAAAATAGAAGCGCTGTGAATCTTTCCGGATGTACTGTCGTGTAATCTGTACAGCCCAAAGAAACTTGATTTGTAACATCCCCTCTCAGCCAATCCAGTTGAGCGACCACCTCAACAGCCTCCTCCTCGGCATGTGCGAGGACGTGTCCCACCGCAGACTAACTATCAGCTCCATCCTGGAATCCTGCGAGGGTCGTCAGAAAGCTTCCGGCTCGCCGCCATCTGCCGACGTCATCAGGCAGCTGGTGGAAGAGGTCTTCAGTGAACCGGTGAGTCTGCACACGTCTTTTCCGCCGTAGTCTGTCATCTCACAGGGCCTTGTTCCCTCAGATGGACCATGGCTCTGACAGCAGCTTGCCTCTGAGTGGGCGGAGCCAGATGATCAGAGAAAGGCTTCATGGTGAGTCAGTGCCAGAATTGGATCAGGGACGAATCTAGGATCAGAATGCCCGGCATGCAGTGAAGTGCAATTAACAAATGAATAAACTACCAAACAAGTGAAATATATGGTACTTGGACTAAACAGACTATTTTGCCTCTGTTATCCAAGTCACTCAACTGCGTTCCCTTAAACATGAAAGCCTTTGCACACGGTGCACAAAGGTGACATCACACAGTAAGGGTCTATAAGTTTACAGTATTTGAACACAAACAGTGTCGTTACACATGTAGACCAACAATATAACAATACTCGCATGCGTGTATTCTTTATCCTCTGTGGAGAATGACTAACGTTACTTTCAAACAGAGAAGTTGAGCCTGTCTCGATGTTTGTCTTACACTGCCCACATGTGGCCAAGGCATGCACAATAGAATGAGCAGCAATGTGTCCATTGAATGAAAGTAGAAAGTGCGACACAAACAAATAAAATTGTATTCCATTTAATTACATCACTACTGGATGTTTTTTTTAAGTATAATATTATATAGTGATCATTTTGTCATTTAAAAAAATATGACTTTTTAAATTGGAAAAGTCAGAACGGATTAATGGCAGTCCAATGATTTCAATGGGTAAAGAAGATTTGAGGTATTGTGTTTTGAGTTATTAACTCGAAACGAATTAACTCATATCGCACTGCAGCACTTAGCTTGATAGTAAGGTATAACAGAAACAATTAAAAATAGTCGCCCTTCCATAAATGTTGCCGAAACCCGATCTCAAATAAATTGTTAATTATACAAATTTCGTCTTTACCAAAGGTGTGTTCAGGTCGAGAGGATTAAAATCTTAACCTAAGGGAGTCTGGGATTAGATTCTTGCTTGAGACAATAATCGGATACTGAGCGTGGGTTTTAGCCTCACCTTCATTCAAATAAAAATACATTCATCTCATCATCATCATCAAATCTAACTTCTTTTACAGGAAGGCGAGGGCCATTTGCAGACTTCAGTGAATGTTGTCCAGAAAGGAGAAGATACTCAACAGACTCAGACTCAAAATCGGGTAAATTCATGTTGACCACGGAGGACCATGTTATTTATCTGTTCACTGATTCGTAAACCACATAAGGTAATAACAATGTGTTGTGTGAATGTATAAGTAAGGTAAAGGGATCGTGGAGCATCCGAGGTACGGCACAATCTGCTCTGGGACAATGTTCAGCAATTTGCAACCCCCCCATAGAAAATAATGAATGAATTAATTCATCTGTTCCAGGGTCAAACTGTGGTCATCATAAAAACTGCATTGTCAAACAGTTGTAAAAATGAGAATTGCAAACAATTGTGTTCACAGTCATTTCATTAACTCTTATAACCACTTGCGAGTCTCATTTTTTTTCAGGTATTGATTTTCAAAAATGCACACTGCGCACTCTTGTTTGAGTGCGTTTTTTCATGTTCGTAGACACAAAATACATTTGCAATGTCACCGTTTACCCTGAAAACCCCCCAGCTATTTGATTCAACTACACAATGATATTTTGGGGAACGCACTGCCTGTGCACGATGCTACGCGTTTGATTTTGTGTTCCTCTGCTTGAAGCTGTCCTTCCAGGGTGTTTACCTCAGAGATCTTGGAAACCTCGACCAAGAAGCTCACCCACACCTTTGTACCAGTCATCTTTGGAAAGGCAAGACCGTATTCCATTTCACCACTCTTGCGTGCCTGTCTGTTTTGACTTTGACCTTGAATCTTTTCAACTTTTCCACACTCGCCTCTTCCCTCCCGGATCTCAGGCTCCCGCGAGGGGCTCGTCACAGGGACAGCACCTGCAGTTGGCTGGGCCGGAGCCCCCACCATGACGTCTCTCCCAAGACATCAGGCAGGTCTCACAGTCCTTCAATCACTTTCAGCGAGTCCTCCATCAGCCTCAGCCAGAGGAAATCTAAGGTAAGAAGACATAAGCTTATAAAACCAGTTCATCGGCTAACATACCGTACATGTGCGCGAGGAGACTTTCATGAGGACATCCATGAGCATCTGGGAAAGTTATTTTTATGAACAATGTGCAGTCATGTGGTGATCATCGGAAAAGCTTATGGGGGTTATGCCTATGGGGAACTGGATTTAGGTATAATAGAAGCACAGGGGTGATGTGTTTATTATTAAGATTATTATTGTCATTTGTTATTTTTCTTACCAGGCTTTAGGTCCAGAGTTTATCCGAATGGCTGACGAACAGCAAATTGTGCTCGAGCTTCCGGGATCTATTGTGGTAAAACAGTTATCCCATTTATACACACACACACACACACACACACACAAATTTTATTCTTACATAAACATATAGAATATCTCTGGTGGCATTAATCAAAAGTGAGCATTGTAATCTCTGTAAAAGGCTTCACTCTCATGTTGGATCTGATTAGTGTTGTTGTCGTGTGTTTCCTATGCAGTCGAGAAAGGGCCGCCTGTGTTCGTCTCAAAGGGAAGTGACGGTGGTGCTGCCGAGCGGCCAGTACGTGGTGGTCCGGTGCGATACCAAGTCCCGCGCGAGGGATGTGTTTGACATGGTGGTGGCTCATGCTAACCTAGTGGAGCACTTCTACTTCGGTCTTGCCTTTCTCGACGGTACTCGTCATTCTGCATTTAGTAGATTACGTAGCAGAAGTATGGAATGTGCGGCGATGTGGATTTTTCAACTGAAAATCAGTGATATTGAAGTAGTGAGCATTTTTTTTTTGCCTTAGTTAGGTAAGACATTGGTAATGAAATATATGAAAAATGTTATGTACATTGCAATCTCAGTAACACCTTGCATTAGGTTTTTAAATGGCGTTACTTACACATTATCACAGCACAATTCCTCTATCTCATTTAGTTCATATTTAGTTGTGTTGTTTAAAAGAAAGGTTTGAAATTTTTATTTTGTTTATTCCAAAAATGGCCTTGTATTTTAGTTTCATCTGTGGTGATAAAAACAAATAAGTGATTTTATTGAGATGTAAAGAATTCGAAGAACTACTTAAAACTTTCACAATTAAAGAATTTCACAACACTTTTGAAAATTGCATATAAATCAATTTCCTTCCACATTTAAAGCATTTTCTTTCCATTTTGCAGATGATGAATATTTTTTTCTGGACCACGAAACAAAAATCTCCAAAGTTGCTCCCGATAGTTGGAAAAAAGGGCAAATCCTTTCCTTTTTGGTGTTCCTTCGAGTCAAATTTTTTGTGGACGATATCGCCTTTGTTTTGTAAGTACCGGGCGCGGACACACAGATTCTGTTTCTTGCCTGCAGACTTTCACCCGCTTTCCTTTCTTGTCCAGGCATAGACTGACTCGCCACCAGTACTACTTGCAGATGCGAAAGGATATCTTAGAGGACCGCATGTACTGCAACGAAGAGACCGGCTTGTTTCTGGCTGCCCTTGCTCTACAGGCTGAATTTGGCGATTACATGCCAGAGGTACTGGACGCAAGAAGAACACTTCTGCTTTCCCATTTGGATTCCGTTGTCATATCAGTGCATTGTTTCGCCCAGTTGTATGGAAAGACTTACTACCAGCCTGAGCACTATGTGTCCAAGAGAATGCTTGAGAAGCTGGCATTGCCCAATGTGAAGGACGAGCTGCCAAGACTGCATGCCAGGCATGCCCCGATGGGACCTGAAGAGGCGGAAACAGAGTATTTGAAAGTGTGTTTAAGTTTACACAATGGCCTGGCACTATTGCTGCTTTCAGCTAATCAACCTTGACTTTGCTTCTGTTAAGATTGCCCAGCAACTACCAGAGTACGGGGTTATGTTCCACCGCGTGGGCAGAGAAAAAAGGCCTTTGATTGGTGAATTGGTTTTGGGAGTCTGTGCCAAAGGAATCATTGTCTACGAGATGAAGAATCAGGTCCGGACCGTCACCAGACGCTTCCTGTGGAGGGAAACAGACTCCATTTCCACTGGGGTAAAGAGAAATTCATTTTTTATTTATCTTCATCAGTATCTGAAAACAAGCAAAAAAAACAACAACTTTTGTCAAACCAAAACCATCTGTAATTTAAACAAAATTCAAAATAAATAATTTAAAATATCTGTTTGTGACTTATTGTAATTTTGTCCAAAAAAAAGCACAAATCTGTCTTTTTTTAAACCCAACCATATACAAAAGTGTCATTTTGGCATAACAAATGCATTTCAAAACACAGATCATTCATTGTAATTTGCAGCTGTCAGTAGAACGTACAAATGTATGTATCTCCAAATTCTGTAATCCTTTTTACCCAAAATATGATTTTTTTCCCTGAATATATATTTATTTTCATTTGTACCCGGGAAGAAAAAAATAGACAAATTATTTTACGATTCTAGAAAAGAAAATGGCGGCTTGATGACAAGCATTACTGTGAATGTCTGTTTTCTTGGCATTTAAACAAGGTATAATGCATTCCTGTATGATTCATTCATACAGTGTGATCAACTGTTTCTTTTCCCCAGCGCCGTAAGCTGATCATCGAATGTGGCGGACCAAGCGGGAAAAAGCACAGTTTTATAACGGAGAGCTCAAAAATAGCACAATACCTCCTCAACCTTTGCTCCGCGCAGCACAAGTTCCACAGTGAGATGACATCACGGCAACTTAACCACAGTATGATGCCAGGTAAAAACAGAGAGAGAACGAGCAGAGCAAGAATTGTGCTCTTCAAGTGACACCAACTATTCCGTTCCTCCCTTCAGATGAAAACATGTCCGTCTACGCGGGTTGTAATCTGAACCTGAAGCGGATCTCATGCTCTGAGGGCATGCTGAACCACGTCGGTTTAGCCTCGGGTCAACCGGATCCGCTGTCCAAATCTTGCGAGGACCTGAGCGCCAAGCTGGAGGCTCGACTCCGCCACCAGAGAGAGATGAGGCGGGAGATGAGCAGGGAGCTGAACAAGGAACCCTCCGAAATGGCAGAACTCGGGGATTTGAAAGAGCGTGCCTACTGGAGGTATTGACGTGCTGTACAATTACCATCCTCCGTCACTTTGCAACGTGAAATTGTTCATTTTGTCGATATGTTTTTTTGAAAGTACGCCAGAGTCGATACCAAGAATGATGTCAAGTGTCTCGCTGCAGAAAGACTCAGATACGTCTTCTTCTATACGAGGTGAATATATGAAAGTTACAGTTCCAACTTGAAAACTACTAAAAAAAAATAGGAGTAAAAAAAAAAAAAAAAAACAACCAAAAACAAAAAAAGGGCAGAGTATTTTCCCAGCTCTGACGGTAGTGTCAGAAGTGCCACAGAGTCAAGATGGCTCTGTGTGAAAGGACGTTGTGTGTCGAAAGTGGTTGTCAGACATACCAAATTTAGTTCTGTGTCAAAGAACGCAATCCTGCAAAAAAATGAACAAGCAACTAAAAAATGGCCGGTACAACTACAACTATACCTTCCGTGCCTTTGCACTTAGCGAATTTCTTGTGGTCCATTTGGATTCTCGATGTTTACACACATTCATGGAAAGATGAGGTCATGCAGGTTTGGGTCTGAAAAGCACAAGCTGGGAAACGTCGATTCAGCTTACTTTATATGGCTCACGTTGTGTGAATGGGAGTACATGCGTTGGTTTTGCAGTTAAGGACACAAAACGCACTAAATTCAAAAAGAGCGTAGTTGCGCTCGAGCCTAAAAATTGGCATATCCAGATTTTTGTGCTTGTTAGGGAATTTTGGTTCATCTCTCTACGCCACGTTCTGTCGCGCCGAGGGGGTTTCCTTTGACATTCGCCCAGTGCGCCTTGCAATTTGGTGGCTGAAGTAGAATAAGCTTTATGCCCGATTTTGGTAAATTTGATCGAGCTGAAGGCAGACAGATTCCAAGTCTAGTCCGCTCCTGCGCAGATTCACACCGCACCTCACGCCAGACTTGCATTGAGCATGAACCTACAAGTCTTTCACATTGTTTGGCGGAGGTAATGATTTTGGTGTTATTTGTTTCAAATCAGCAAAAGAGAAGGTGCTGAGTCAGGCTAAAATTTACAACCCCTTCATTAGTGTCTTCTTATTTTTAAGTGGTATCACCGATGACTACAATCCAGTTTGCCCCCTAAGGATTTAATTAAACCTGATGCTTTCTAGAGGTGTCAACTATTTGTTATGGTTACGCTGACAATTACAGTTGGCAACTGTGAAAAGCACTCTTTTCAGTGTATAGTCAATTTGTCATTTCTGTTCCATATTTACAGTTGACACGCCCACTAGGTTTCCACCAGAGAGAGAAATTATATGCGTAAGCCTCAAGAAGGATCCTAAACTTGGCTTTGGTGAGTGGTCCACTCATGTAAAATTGATAAGAAGAGACACTTACCTAATTTTTTATATGCCAACTTTTTGTCTCTGATTTCGCTGTGGTCCCGTTGCAGGCTTTGTGATTGTAGGCGAGGACAATACAGGTAAACTTGACCTCGGTATATTCATTGCTTCCATTGTGCCAGATGGACCTGCGGACAAAGATGGACGGATCAAACCAGGTAGCACTTAAAAGCACACGCAACTTAATTTGGATGCAAATTAGATTACATTGTTTTTTGTTTTTTTTTACCCCAGGTGGGCGTCTCATTTCTCTAAATAAGACCAGTTTGGAAGGGGTAACATTCAGTGATGCTGCTGCCATCTTACAGAGTAGTCCTGAGGAAGTGGAGCTGATTGTGTCCCAGCCTAAACGTAACATAAAGCTATTGAACGGAGACATTATTTTTCATCAATGTATCAGAACTTGTGTCAATGTTGTTGTTTATTTTGCCGTGAGCAGAGTGTCTGAAATAATATTTTTCATCAATGTATCGGAACTCGTGTCAATGTTGCTGTTTATTTTGCCGTGAGCAGAGTGTCTGAAAGACAGCAAGAACTCTCTTTGCCAAAGCACACTGGGCTTGGCATTGGAAAGGAGTTTTGGCTCTCAGACCACCCTAAGCGGCACCGAGTACCGACACGCCGTGGATGAACTGGAGGAGGCCATCACTTTGTCCAGCATGGCCACGCCCAAACAAAGCAGGAAGCTTCACATACCTGTGGTGCGAATACATGACGCACAGGTTAGTAGGACAATAACGTGTCACTCTACATTTTGATCAAGCAGGTGATGGGAAGGTTTTTTTTTTTTCCCATTTGGGCCATTTCACTTTATATCAAGCCCTCAGCTCGCCAAATTAACTTTATGAACAAGTATTTTGAAGAAATGTTTGTTCATAACGACTGCTCTGAGATTTTATGTGTGGTGTAACTTTTTGGGCATTCCAGACATTGCGATCATTGGACTTTCTCACACGTCTTTCATGAAAACATCTCCCATTACAAAATCTGTCAAATTAGGTAACAAAAAACTTACTAGGTGGAATAGTTATTGTTAGATTTTTTTTTATTTTTTTTATTTTGAGGAGCTAGGAAAAAGTACATTCGAAATTTGACGTTTGGTTTCATTTTTTGTGGGTGGCATGGCAGTTTTTAAACAAAGTGTTGCTGTTAATTGAAAATCAGCATCCTCTTTTTTTGAAAACCTAAATAAAGTTTTTCCAATTATGAGGGTTTTGTCTTTTCCTCTGTACATGCAGGACATGTGTTCTCGGTCTCCCTCTATCTTAAGTCTAAAAACCGGGGGGACGTTTTTAGTGGAGCTGAAGAAGAGCGGCGGGAGTCTCGGCATTAGTGTTGCTGTGAGTTTTTAAAAAATCCTGTTGCTTTTTTTTATGCCTTGTGTGCTCAAAGCTGTTTTTTCCTGCACACAACACTTTGTGTGGGACTTTGTGTGGCATTGGCTAACTATGTCTTTGTGTCTTAAAAACAGGGAGGAATTAACACAAGTGTGAGATATGGCGGCATTTACATCAAAAGTCTGGTAGTTGGAGGTGCTGCTGAACAAGATGGACGAATTCAAATTGGTATTTTTTTTTATACATACACATCACGTTGTGTGTTCTTAGAAGGGGCTTGACTGCTTTTTTTTAGTTATGTCAATCATATGTACAGTATGTGTTTACATTTGGACACAGAGACTTGTTCATGCTCCACCTACCAGGATCACCTCAGATTGTGTGGCATGTCCATCAAACAAGAACACACACACACACACACACGCACGTGCATGGATTTATTGATGCTGCTAATGATGACGATGATGAGATTGCTGCATGTTTGCATATGGCAGGTGACAGACTGCTGGAGGTTGACGGCTCCAACCTGAGGGCCGTGACACACCAACAAGCTGTCGAGTGCCTGAAGAGGACTGAGGAGGTCAGCATGCGAACAGATACACACACACACGCATCTACACACTATATCTGCTATAGCACAGTTCACCGTACGTGCCCCCACTATAGCGTAGGTTGGGTATTTTTGGTTGTTTTTTTTTTTTTTAATTCACGCAACAACTGCGGTCACATGCAGACTCGCCAATATGACACGACACCCTACCAGCCCCCAGCTTTTAAAATCACACATTGAACACGAAGACAAGACATTCCGCATAGTATTTTCCAGACATTTTATCCTTGCAATGGTTTGGTTCAAATACATCCACAGTATCTTGCAAAAGAGTCTTTTTGTAGTTTGAATGGATGTGGAAAGCAAAAGTCTGATTGGGGCCGATCAGAATCGAGTTCTCGGTGAGTAATACAAATGCATATACGCACATCTTTATCCAATATCTTGTTAAGCGTCACATATAAAATGATTCAAAGTATATCTCATTGATATGGTGTCTTTAATGGTCCAGGGGACTCATATGACACATCATAGACAAGAAAATGAAACACAACGTATGGACTAATAAAGTGTTGTGATAGGTGGTGAACCTGCTGCTGGAGCGAGAACCAACAATCATCTTGGAGCCCAGAACCGACTCCCCCCTCCCACTGTCCATCCACAATGCATCACCAACTCAGCCCCCCAGGACCGAGGTCTCCTTGGAACCAACCTTGAGTGGCCGAGCTAAGGACTACAGCTTTGTGACTGACGGTGTGTGCGCGCTCACCAAAGAAAAAAACAAGAAGAGTATTAGAGAGACACGCACACACAGGCCTGAGGTGACTGTGAGTCATCTGACAGTTACATTGTGGTGGCTGTCAAAGTCATCCAGGGCTGATGTTGCCTTGTTCCCTTGAGACAAGTGCTTTTACCTAGACTTGGACCGTAGTCTAGTTAAAAGCACGGTTTCACTGCCTCTACATACCCTGACCACTGAACACCATCATTATTATTATTAGTCATTTTATCCATCAAAGCATCCATTTTCTTCAGCGTCTGTTCTCATTTGGGGCACAGGTGATTTAGAATTCAAAATGACCTGGTTCATGAATCTTCCCAATTTCTTTTCCTAGAAAACACGCATGAAGTAATCCTGAAGAAAAGTTTGTCAGGTCTAGGCTTCAGTTTTAACATTTCCCAACTCAACTCGGGGCAAGACCATGGCAGCGTGGTCCGCATCAAGCGTCTGTTCCCGGGTCAGCCGGCCCACGAGAGTGGCCTCTTACAAGAAGGGGACATCATTCTGTCCGTCAACAAAGAGCCTCTCAAGGACCTTTCCTACCAGGTATGTTGAACTTCATTTGCAATGTCATTTGTCCCAAAAAAATCGTGTAGCACATCAAATAGTTTAAAAAGATTGTGAATGGGCGTCAGTGGGAGCCCTTCTTGGCTACATCATTGGTTCACTAATCTTTTAATCTAATGCTACCCAAAATAGCAAGCTGGTTGTGTCACAGTCTTTCGATGTGTTCTGACAAGGAATTATCGTCGCAAACACTGGAGTACATCTCAGGTCATGAAGACTATCCTCAATCACCCGCACTTCTTTATCTTTGCGACATTAGAGGGTTTTGTTCCTGCTGCGAGGTGCCCCTTCTGAGGTTCATCTCTTGATTTGTCGACCCGGTTCGGGAGTGCTGTATGATGCTGATGACAACACACTTGTAAGTAAACACGTATCTTGAAGGACATGTCATCGCCCAAAATGCGGCGGTATTACTTTCACTTCTCTTTCTGTGTTAGAGTCCTGCACCCACCAGGGAGATCCGATCCCGGTCTCTGGACATCCGTCTAGGAGACGACTACAGCCAGCTTCTTAAGTTCCAATTTGATGTGAACATACCTGCTCAGAGTACAGCTCCCGTCTTCGAGGAGGAACTGACTGACACAGCGGAGAAAAGCCCAGAGCCTCCGGCTTTTCCGAGTTTCTTTGAAGGACAAGAGAGGGAGGTGCAAGGCCAACAGACTCCTCAATCTTCACCTCCCGGGCCGGCCTCTCCCACGTCGCCTCCAGCGCCAATCTCGCCAACCTTGCCCGCTTCTCCCACATCACCTGTCTTACCTCCGGTCTGCTTTCGACCAGCTCAAGAGTCGCAGCTGACGTTGGAAAAAGCAGAAGAACAACAGGAAGTAGAATCGAAGAATAGAAGCGAGGATGGGGAGGAGGCTGTTGCAACAAGTTCAACCGCGATATTTGACGTCTTCCCGAAGACTGATTCAAACTCCATGTATGCCAGGTAGAAAAATTACCCAAGGCTACATTGCATTACACTGTAATTATTTCTGGAACGTGCCAGTGGCCTCCATTAGCAAAACTACAAGGCTTAACTTAAACCCGTATATGTTTGACATCCACCAAAAGGCATGTTTGGAATCTTGCTGAACTAAAAGGTTTGCTGACTTCTGAATGGTTCAAGTGTAAATGGGTTCCTGATTGACTGGTGATCAATTCAAGGGATACCTCTTGTTCAAAGTCGTCTGGCTCAATTTTTCCATCCGGAACATCCTAAGCAGCTTTTTTTTAAGGGTGATGTGTTGGACCAAAGTTTAGCAATGGCAAATGGTAGGGCATTGTCTGCAGTTCGAATCGTAGCGTCGTTTTTTTGCTAATGTCGCCGGTCCTTGTTGGCTGTTGTCTTACTCTGTATTAAGTAGCCCAAACTGACTACGATGATTAGAGAACTGCTCCTTTTGGTAGAGGATGAAAGTGATTCTCTTTTCTTTGCAGTGGTATTCGAGAGGAGGCAGATGGAAGTGTGACCTACTGCCTTGTTGGAAATGGATTGACTATAATGGCAGATGAGGAGTATTTGACCATCAGTTCCACCCTGGACCATCAACAAAGTTTTCAGTCCAATCAGGCCACTCAAACACCGTTACCAAACCTCACAAGCCTCAGCTCGCAAACCCAGACCACTTCATCCAGTTTTTCTCAAATGTCCAACACTCTGTCTGGTCTATCACAGACCTCGAACACTCCATCAAGTTTCCTCCAGACTTCCATCACTCCGACTCACCTCTCTCAGACTTCCCAAAATCCAACAATTTTTCCTCAAACCTCCAATACACTGTCTAGTTTCAGCTCACAGAACCCAAACGCTACCATGACGCCTTTAAGCCTCTTATCTGACACCCTGACCACTTCTGCCCTGGCACACCCGTCTCAGCCGCTCACGACACAGCCATCCAAAGCCAAGCAGTACCCGCTCCAGCAGGGACAGCAGCTTCCACTTCAATGCAAAGCGCCCCCGAAAAACAGTCAGCCTGCTGCGGGGCTCCCTCAAAATCCTGCTCCGCCGGCGGGCCCCATCACGACACAGATAATCTCCTCAACACCTCCTAATGTCAGCGCGACTCCTCCCACCATTCCACCCACAATAATACCTCCACCTGCCCAGAGTCATGCACAGTGGGATGAAGAGGCAGAGAAGAAAGAAAGAGAATGCAGGGATGAGGAGGAGGATGAAGAGGATGAAGAAGAGAGTCAAAGAAAGGTCATTTTGTTCACAGATCTCCAAAACGCTCTGATGGTGTGACCGACACCTCAATTCGTGTTTTAACAAAGAAGTGAATGTAGAATCCTTTTGTGCATATTGTGGCACTTGATTACCTTTTGATCCAACACTAAAAGCACACGTTTTTGCGTCACTGGTTGTTTATTTGGTGCTTTGCAGGGATCGGTAAAAGAATTTGAGTTGACCGTCCTTCTGACCAAGTCCAGGAGTGGAAGCTTTGGCTTCACCATCACCCGAAGCAAACTGGACAACTGCTACTACATACAAGAAATACTGGACAATCCAGCGAAGGCAGACGGACGCCTCCGAGCTGGAGACCGGCTGATCACGGTAAACGGCCCCTTTTTTGAAGGCGATAGTCGCTATGTTGATTATTTTTGTCGGTTTCAATCGTCTCCAGGTAAATGGACATGATGTGACCAATGTGGCGGATGAAATTGCCATGACGATTCTCAGGTCCTCTCCCAGGAGACTCAGTATGACCCTAGGCAGGGCTGTTACCAACCTGGTGGCACCCCCTTCTTGTGACAGCCTACCTGATATTGTCCTCTACAAGACACCTTCAGGACAGCTCGGTAGGACGGCGAGTGGTCTTTCATTCTTTAGTGTACGCATTGAAAGGGTAGCACTGTGGCCTTGTAATTGACATCTCACACCTAAAAAAATTCCAGTTCAACTGGCTTCTTCACGTTGTCCAGGAATATGAAGTTAACTGAAGAATCGTAGGTTTTAGCTAGTTTCTATTCTCCTCATTGTCCCTAATCAGCTGCATGGCATAGAGTTGGCTCACCTTATCTGTAGTTGGTGTGAGTGTTTTTTTTTTTGGGGGGGGGGGGCAAAACCAGGTAACAGTGAGCATATCCGCCTCACGGTGCTGAGGTGCAGGGTTCGATTCCGGCTCCGGCCTTCCTTATGTGCAGTTTGCATGTTCTCCCTGTGCCTGCGTGGGTTTTCTTTGCGTACTCCGGTTTCCTCCCACATTCCAAAAACATGCATGGCAGGTTAATGGAACACTCGAAATTGTCCCCAAGTGTGATTGTGAGCGTGAATGGTTGTCTGTCTATGTGTGCCATGCGATTGCCTGACAACCGGTTCAGGGTGTCCCCTGTTTCCTGCCTGAAGACAGCTGGGATAGGCTCCAGCACGTCCGCGACCCTTGTCAGGATAAACGGATTAGAAAATTGATGGATGGATGGAAAACAGGTAACACAAGGTACGACCTGACTAGAAGTGATCGAAATAGACACACCCTGCTATTGTACGCTGTGTTCCAGCAGTCCGTCCTTATTACAATCAAGTTGAGCTGAACAAAGGAGTTACCAAGCGCTGGAAAATCGATATATAAGTCTCAACTTTACGACTGACTGGCATTTGTGACTGCTTTCTCCAGGCATTAAACTGACAGGTGGCATTGGAAGCAAATGGCAGGGCATTTACTGTCTGGAGGTGGTGCCAGGCACCCCGGCCAGCGAAGAAGGCAGCGTGCAACCCAATGACAAGATTCTCTACATCTGCGGGAGGTGCACTCTAGGGATGACCTTGGATGATGCTGTCAAAGCCTGCGAGATCGCCCCGCGTAAAGTCAAACTCAAAATCCTGAGGTCCGTGCCTACTTAGGGGCCCGATTGAAAGGAAAGAAATAGCCGAGATACACACAGCTGACTGACTCACTCTGCTGTTTGTGTTTTTTTTCCTATTTTCCAGAGATGAACAGCCCGTGACGCCCAAGGCCAAATGGAACGGTGAGGAGTCTGTGAAAGATTTATGAGATGATTTCATCTGCTTCAGTAAACCCTAAGGACAAACATGAGGGAGATTTGTTGGTTAGAAACACAGATGCCGGGAAACCACATATGTTTGTGTTTAACCAAACAATCATTTAAGTTCAATCATTACCAAAAATAGTTTGAAGGGGAATGAGGTCATTATCTGTCCGACCCTTTTTGGCGTACTTCTTTTACAGGTCTGTTTGATTGGAAAAAGGACAAGAAGTTCTTTGCTCGTTTTGAAGAGCCTATCTCTCCTGAAAAAGAATCACCTCAGGAAGATGGTGAGATACTTTCCTTCTCGTTTTCTTCTCACCATATCCTTCCATCAGCACATTCTTGTCGCTTCGTATGAGCTTGGTTGACCGAAAGACATTGTGTGTGTGATACCTACAGTCCTGCAGTCCAATACACCAGTGGAGGCCTCCCGAGAGACATTGTGTGTGTGTGTGATAACTACAGTCCTGCAGTCCAATACACCAGTGGAGGCCTGAGGCTTGCTAATTATTAATCTTGCAATGATGGTCCAAGTTCTGTCTGTCAGCATTTAGAACACACACACACGCACACAAGCACATTCACATCACATACACACTCATAGACACATTCCTGGTCAATGGTGGTCTCCAGTGCAGGTGATTCAGTTGTTCGGTGACAGTTCCCGCAGCAGGTTGGGGGACAGTGGACAGCGTCATTTTAAAAAGACCTTGTCTTGTTCACCTGTCACAGAAGGTGCGTAGCCTTCAACACTTTCAAATTTCGACTGCTTGAGGTGGAGATAGGCAGACCCCGTTTTGGTACTTTGCAGCGCCATCGCTGCAATTTCATCAATGAGGATTTTTCTCAAGCTGTGTGAGGCGCTGAACTTTAGATGTTAATTAGCTTGGATCAAATGGAACAGATCAATATTTGTGCACAAGTACTTTTTGTCGACATTTGCTGCTGATTCATACCTAATCTATTGTTCTTTTTTTCCCCTGCAGTTGAAGTTGTCAGTCGAACGCTTGGCAGCTTCAGATGTCTGTCTGGAGCTGAACAGCAGGATGTAAGCGTTTGTCCTCTTGTTGCAACTACACTAAATCATTTTGTTTGTCATGTAACCTGAGACCACTAATGCCACTCTTCCACTGCATAGTACCGTCTTTCTTCGGGTAGGGTGATTTTCCGCTCCCCAGTTCAGTATTACTGCGCAAAACTACTAATAAATAAAAATAAGAAAAACACAGCATTTTGAATGCACCTGACAGATTGGAAAATATGAAACAAAATTCAGATGTCCAGCGGTAATGCTACATTCGCATGTGTGTTGATTATTTTAGCCATATATTCTCAAAAGTTAGTGACTTGAGACATTTGTACCCTGGCTGGCCAGGTAACTGGAACTCATCGTACTGACCTGGTTTTTCCTCTGGAAATAGCGAGCCCAGTTGGGACTTTGCAGAGGAAAAGGGGCATTGCTGTTTTCCCCCAGCATGCAACATTTTTGCAAAAGATTAAGTGCATAGGATTACGTTTTCAGACGTTCACTAATAACAGTTCCTCTGTCCTTCTGCAACATTGCTGTCCTTTTCAGAGTTGCATTATGCAAGTTGAGTTTACCAAACCGGAAGGAGGCGGCCTTGGCTTTGCGTTGGTTGGTGGGACCAACGGCAGTGTGCTCAGGGTGAAAGAAATCTGTTCTGGTGGAGTAGCTGAGCAGGATGGCAGGTTGAGAGTGGGAGATATTCTTCTAGAGGTAACATTACCAATGATGTTATGCACAATATATTTAGAATATTTTCCCATCCGCCTCTGGTAAAACCAAAGCTCCCGACTGTGTTTAACCAGGTGAATGGTGTGATTGTGTCGGGACTGAGCCACAGTAAGGTGGTGGATATTCTGCGTAAAGCTGAGGGCACAGTGCAGCTCACCATCTGCAGGGACATCCTGCCACTGACCTATTCCGAATCACCTACACCACCCAACATGGCCTCAGGTGCTGAGGCTGTCCTAGCTGAGCAGCCAGCTCCAGTTACCTCCTCGGATGCCTCTTCCTTACCTGACGTCATGATGAATAAGCCAGTGGAGCGCCCCCCTGGTAGGGATCGAGACAGTGCGCATTTTCTTTTCTTCAACCATGACCTGTAAAAACACAATCAAAAGTAATGTGATGGTTGGTTTTCTTCCCATGCTGTTTCAGAGCCGATTGCAGAGTGTGTGTTTAATGAATCTGGTGTTTTAGTCACAACGCCGCCTCCTCCTCCACGACGACTGACTGTGGTATTGGATGAAACGCCTATTGTTCAGGCAAGTCGGGTTCCACTGTACACATGTATGTTGTGCGTGAACATGTGTCTGTACTTTTCATGGGTGCACACTTTGCCTGTTGGTCTGTGTACTAGGAGAGTTGTGACAGCACGCCTTCTCATCAAGCTTGCTGCCCGTCACTGAATGTCACCGAAATGTTGCACGGAGCTTCTGACAGGTTAGTGACTTCTCTTCCCTTGTATCGCCCACCCCATTGCATTTGTGTGTTGTTTTTTTCCGTGAAATTGAATTCTGGCAGATAAGAAGATTGAAAAGTGACAAATGTTTTTAATTTTTGTAGTTAGTCCACTTTATCTTCAGGGGCTGGTTTACTAAAATCCTAAATGATGGGTGCTACGAGTAAATCTAAAATTCACGCGAGTGTGCACTCTTGGCAGTAGGTGTCAAAGGTGTGGGGCAGCTACATTTGAAACAGGTTTTTGTATTTTAGTCAGCACCTGATGGTTTTCACCATGAAACATTTAGGAGGGCAATGACGTCTGAAGTGATGGAATTGAAAGTGTCAGTGAATGGCAAATATAATTTGTATTACAAAGTAACAGAAAAGAAATTGTTCCCACTATTTTTTACTAAATACAGTACATTTAAGTCGTTCTGAGAGCCCATTTTGCGTAGAATTTGTTGTATTTTTTGTGCTGGACTTCCCATGTTCACCACAGGGAGGCAATAAAGAGCAATGAATAAACCGGACAAATGGGGAAGGTAGATGCTTGAATTGATGGATAATGATGAATCCCTACGTATACGACTGCGAGAACTAGAATAGAAGAAAGTCAGTTATGTTGAAGCTAAATTAAAAATACAATCAGGGCATCATAGTGCACTAGTGTTTCACACCCTTGCGTCATACTTGAGAGGCCCTGGGTTCGAATTTTGCATCCTCCTCTGTGGAATTTGCATGTTCTCCCAAGCCCACTTTTCTCTGGGTAGTCCGGCTTCCTTCCACATTCCAGAGAAATGTGTTGTACAAATTGTCCCGAAGTGTGAATGATGGTCTGTCTTTTTGTCTGCCTGCAATTGACTGTCAACCGGTCCCTCTGTAGCACCCACCTCTCGCTTCCAAAAGTCAGCTGCAGGCTCCAGCACACCCGTGACCCAAATGATGACAAGCCCTATAGAAAATGAATATGATAAATCTAAGATCACATATATTCATGACAGACAAGGTCCGCTATATATCCGGTAAAATGCAGTGTAGTACTATACCACTATAAACACATTATTTTTGTTACATGCCAATTTTTTTTTTCGACAACTCCTGTATTGGAGCTCACAAGTGTCTCAACAAAAGAGCAGAAGTGTTGTTACAGTACACTGTGTGGACTTTGTTCTCCAAACCCTCAAGAAGAATAATGGATGATTACCAAATATAGATATTTTTGCATCACGTTGTATATTGTATTTTAGGTGGAAAAGGAAGCTCAGCTTTGCATGAACTCAACTGGTCCTACCTACCGAAGAATAAAAACGGTGTGGTCTCCCCCCCTGCCCCCTGACTCCCCCAGGAAACACACTGTGAGCAAACTGTTGGACCGGTCGTGCAAAGGCAGCCGGAAACCAGAGTCAGACGGCTGGAGCAGCGAAGAGGAAGAAGACAATGTGTTTGACGCCAATGCTCACCAAACCACCTCACCGCAAATAGGTGTCTATTCCTCCACTTAGAATATCCGGGATACACTACTCACAAACGTAGTCCAGATTTTGGGTGAAAGGATAAAACTAAAATGCACTTTAACCTGAATTTACATTTCACCTTATTCATATAGTGTGTACATATACGGTATATGCACATACATGTAGAGAGAGACATACATGTACTGTATAAGGTATATAAATGTTTGCACATATTCTACATATATACATATACATGCAGTACATACAGGTATATTCACATATACATACATATTCAGTGCATATAGTATATACAGTATATAATCATATACACAAATACATTATAGACATACATATATACCGTAAATATTGAGCTTTTAACAAAAAATGATTTGAATCGGAAAAACTGTTTTGAGCTCAAAAGTCCGACTGCATCAACCGATTTGAATCCGTCCACTTTAAAATATACCAAGATACGTAAGGAATCGTCTTTTATTGGAGAGATTACAGTCTTGACAAGTTCATTTATAACAAGTCATTGCATCATACCCTCTCAAACACATTGTGAATTTATTCTGAAGTATCGATAATCGTATCCTCTGCCCAGGCCCAGTCATCATATCAGAGGAGGAACTGTCCAGTTTATCCATCATTAACCCATCTCGAAGCAGCCAGTATTCAGGCTCCAGGGTCAAAGCCATCATCCAGATTCTACAGCATCAATTAGACCAGCAGGAACTGGTCAAAGAATTCATGGTGGGTTTCACTGAACATTGTCCAGCACATAATGCTGAATGGGACATCACAATTCATGCGTGTTAACATCGTTACACACTAATGTGACTTCAGGCTCTGGAGCACCTAAAGCCTTCTGATGACTGCGCGGTGGGAAAAGCCCCTGAGCACAGAGACAAGAACCGCTACAGAGACATCTTGCCCTGTGAGTCATTCCCCATTCGACGTGAATTAGTTTTCGCCATTTGCTTAAACCACCACGGTCCACTTATAATTCTGGTCCACTTCTCTTAGATGTCGTCCATGAACATGAGCAAAAACATTTTTTAATTACTATAAGAGATGTAGGTCAAATGCTTTTTATAAATGGAGTAGCTTCAAGGGCAGACAGACAGCAGACATTACGTGCTGTCATTCCAATCATGTGCTTCCTAGTTAGAAAGTCAAAGTGAAACAAGAGTGCAACTAATAAGCTACACAAAAGATTGTGATGTAGAGAAACGCATGCAAGTTCAGATTCAACACATGATCATTTCGTAAATCTGCACAATGACAAATAGCAAATAATGAAATCATTACAAAGATGAAAATGGTCAGTTTTGTTTAAGTGATATACAGTGCATATAAATGTCATTTTGATTGGCAATCGGGAATCTGACAGAGATGTTATCTCTCGAGGCGAAACTACCTCTGCTTGACTACGGGAGCCACCCCCCACCTGCCCTGTGGCAATCCTCTTACCCCATAACCGCATGAGACGAAGAATGTGGGGCCCATTCCCTCAGTCCTCATTGTGCCCACACAGCACACCAGCCAGCTCTGATAACTAACGTGCCTGTGTGGCGGTGTCGATTCATTTATCGTGTCTCCCGAGAGGCACGCACGGCGATTGGATTTAGTTACTTGGTGTGGGGCCATTCTGTATTTTCCTAGACACGGCCCTTGTGGTCGCGTTATCTTCATGGACTGTCCTCTCAATCGCACGGTTGATTGGTACAAGGCTGAACTGGTCGCACGGCCTGGCTCGCCATCCATGGACCAGCTCATCCTGTTCTGGTTGCTACTCGTCTTATAGCGCAATAGCGCTGCTTTCCCAGTCCACACATCGATCCCATGTAAACGGATTGATGTTTTACTGTTCTTATGATGCTGTTGTTTTTGTTCTTGTTTGGCTATTTTCTCTACGTTTTTCCAGTTGGATTTCCACGAAATCTCAATACAAATGGCAAAAGTGGGAGGGCGGTAATATTGTTCTAGATTTTTCTGTAAGAATAAATACATATCATAAACATTTTGAAATATGTTGACAATGTGTTTAAAAAGGGTGTGTAAATATATTTCAACATGATTCAAGCGTGGGGGAGGCATATATTAAGGATGAAACAACACAACAGATATTTTGGTAGAATATGCCACAAAATTGTTATAAGAAGACACGCAGTTGATTTTACACAATGAATTTCTTGGGCACAGAGAAATAAATGACTGAGATAATCACAAGTTGGAGATTTGCATGGGATTTGTTGAAGGGAAAAAAGAGAAGGCAAACCATTTTTCATCCATATTAAGACAAATACGCAGCAGATTTACTTTATGGCCTCCAGAGATTTGTTTTTTTCGGGGTGGCTGAAGGGGGTCAGACATGAATGAGCATCCTGACAAAGATAGTGGGCCTCAGTGGAATATGGCTGACCCTCGCCATATGCCCTCTCCTTCCTATGCCTGTTTGCGCATACGGTGGGTTATTTACTGATCCAATCTATTCCTTGTATTTAAACAGCCATTTTCCAGTACATTTCAAGGAGGTGGGGGACTTTGTCAACACTCGGACTCTATCAGTCCTCTCATCACCAACAAAGCTACTTTGTTTGTAGTTCTGACATAGGTTTTGGCAAAACAAGATGACAGAACTGAGGAAACTACCAAGGATCTGTTGCAGGATCTGTTTTATTCAATTTGGAAACACTTGGTGATGCAGACAAGTACAGTAAACGGACACACCGCACACTCACCCTGGCCCCGTGTGTCCTCTTTTCCATCCGCAGATGACAAAACCCGCGTCAGCCTCGGGGAGAAGCGCGACTACATCAATGCCAGCCACATCCGCATGCAAGTGGGAGGTGAGGAGCTCGCCTACATTTCCTGCCAAGGACCGCTACCCTCTACGGTGGCCGCGTTCTGGCAAATGATCTGGGAAAACAAATCGGATGTGATTGCCATGATGACCCAAGAAGTAGAACGAGGAAGGGTCAAATGTCACAAGTATTGGCCCGAGAAGCCTAACAAGCCCCTGGACACGGGCAAGTTTGACATCCACCTGGTGAACCAGCAGTACTTGGAATATTTCTACATTAAGGTCATCCGCATGATGGAAACAGAGGTGAGAGACGTTCATGTTCATGCTGCACTCGCTTTTGAGGCGGTCAGACCTCAAAGTACCCCGATATTTTAATCCAACGTTCTACTTGACGAGTGTACCCTTATTTGGATTGAAACGATTCCAGACAGCCGAGACCCACATTGTCCATCACCTGAAGTTCACGCACTGGCCCGATCACGGCGTTCCGCACTACTCGGAGCAACTGCTTCGCTTCATTAGCTACCTGCGCTCAGTGCACCAGCAAGGGCCCGTCACGGTCCACTGCAGCGCCGGCATCGGACGCTCGGGTGTTCTCATCTGCACCGATATCATCCTCAGCCTCATCGAGAGGGATTTGCCTGTGAGTTACAAACAATGTATTCGCTGCATTGTCATTTTCACTTTTTTAGCACAGACGACTTGTCACACTCGTTCATCACAGACAACTAAATCGCCAAATAAATCAGGTGTTGGAAATCTGCGGCCCATGAGAGAGTTCGATCCAAGATTTTGACGCATTAACCACGCGGTTCCTTCAAATCTAGTGTTTGCAGTTCCATCTGTTGGATCCGTCCGCAAAGAGTGAAAATGAATTCAGTAGCTGCGCCTTTATTCCGATTGTCACCACAATCAAACGCATTATTTATTGCTTGCCACTCCTGCAACAATGCTTTCTACCTTGAGATAACATTACCTATACATAACACTAGCACAACAGAGCGACTTCAGAAGTCGTATCACAGCGGGGCATGAGCCATCTGTATTCTTGTCCTTAGATTAATGTGAGCAACATCGTAAAGGAGATGAGACTTCAGCGGCACGGGATGATTCAGACCAAGGTCAGTGTCATCGGAGCGGTTCGAAGTTGAGGCTTGAAATCAAGCCAGCTTCCAAAAAGCGAGACCTTTTTTTTTCTCTGTCTTGGGTTTCAGGAACAGTACCTCTTCTGCTACAAAGTCTGGTTGGAGGTTTTACAAGGCATTTTACAGCTCCATGGCACCCAGTGGCAACCGGAAAGTCCCCAAGACCACAAAATAGTTTGAATGTTTGCGTTTGTGCGACCACAAAGCACCGGCGACACCTTCTTCTTGAACTCTTGTCTCTTTTCATACTGTGTGCTGTCTAGTTGTATGCAGGGAGAAAATACACGTTTGTTTCGCCTAGATCTGTGAAGGGAATCTTGACGTACTTCGGGCTTAGTGATTCGCCTTATGCCTCCATGATTGCGTTCAATTTCAGTCTCCCTGTGGCATTTCATTTGCAAATTGCCATCACGGTAGCCCAACAGTATTTTGTCTGGTAGGGACGCCGATAAGGTTACATCAAATCATCTTACCAAAGTTTATTATCGGATAACTTGATGAATGTGAGTTTTTATTTCATTAAGTGCATTTGTACCCTGGCGAGAGAGTGAGAAAAAGGGCAACACTATTCATTCTGTAAATCACCTACAGCAATGAAAAGAATCAAGTGCCTTGGAATTGACCCCGAGCTGCTATAGTCACATGTAAACGGGCCGAGGGAGCGACGACACTGCTTGAAAGCACTCACGCGACCTTCGACTGAATGTGCACCGTTTTTGTTGTTGAATGTGAATGTTTGCTTGCTCCAAATCACAGGCAAGACAATAACATATGACCTTAAGTTAAAGGAAGTCACAATATGAAGATCGTACACTTTCCCCATTTTGTATGAAAACCACAAAATTGTACTTTGAAACCCCCGGCGGATCGCAACATAATGCATTTGAATACATTTATAAATTTTCAATTCACTCTTTTTGCTAAAGGCTTAAATGGCCATTCTCGCAAATGTGATATTTAGGCTTTTTGGTTGAATTTGTGATAATAGGCTCTATCTGTATTCACTGGCTATTTTAATACAAAAGTCAGCCATCGTGCGGAATTGAATGAATGAGGTTTACACAATGTACAGTGCAAGAAAATCGCTGCTGGTTTGTACCTCCACTTTTGGATGCTTGTAGCTGCTATAACACACGCATACTGTATACATCCATGCACACAAACAGGCCTGTCAATGGCTGGCGTTTCGCCGGCTTTTCCATGTTGATGTTCTGTATAAACGGCGCTGACAAAGAATGAGGGGGGGTTACAAAGTCGATCGGCAATTTTCTGCCTTAGTAGATCGTACCAGGGCGTCCCCTTTTACACCACGCGGAGAAAAAAAATGGCAGCAACATAGACTGGGAGGCACATCTAAGCTAGTCCGACCTGTTTGCTGTTCCATTGCTCCGTTACAAACTAGGGATGTCCAAAGTCCGGTACAGTGGCCTGCTGCACATTTTAAACTCGGTGTGCATCAAATTGTGAGAAAAGGTTAAGATTACACATTTATTTTAAATTTAAAAAAAAATTGTAGTTGACCGTTACAAGATGTCACGTTTTTATTTTAAATTTGTCGTAAAATGACTGAAAATTTATCACACTTTTTTTCCCATTCAAAATTGTTTGAAAACATTTTAGGTGACAACATTTCACGTTACTTTTTCATTAACGTGTGTTTTTTTTTTTTTCAGTTGAAGTTGTTTTGCATTTCAAAAATTGGATGGTCAAAGATACCACATTTGTTTTATCAAAACTTTTTGAAAAAAACGGAAACAACTCGGGTAACTTTTTGCTTTGTCAGCAAAACCGCAAAGCCTTTTACACGACCTGCAATAATCCCCCATTTTTTTTCAGTCCGATTTATGTACGTACGTATATACGGCATTGACATGGAATGGGTATCGTTACAGGGTTCGGTGTAAAAGTCAAACAGAGGTCAATATCGGTTGTTCTGTTCAGGCAATTTTACAGGATCACTGTGTGAAAGAGGCTACACATTGAAGGACACACACACCCGCACACACACCAGCTCCAATAGTGCATGCACACTCTCAGAGGAGTCGACTTGACCATGATGAGGAATGTAACGAAGCAAAGCAATACTCTCCGAGGGGAAGGGGAGGGTGCGGGCGGGGGGTTCGGTCCATGTGCCGGCTCCAGAGCCATCACTCTCTGTAATGTGAATGCTTTTCCCTCGACGCTGCTTAACGTCTTCTCTCCCTTTGAGAACCTTCGAGCAAGAAAGCACATTTGCTGTTCCGTCTGTGAAGAAATGCATCGTGTACTGTGAAGAAGAGCAATAGCATCGTGAAATGTAATCATCCTTAATTGCACTGCGGCATATTTATTCGATTCGATGGATATCTTGTCACTCGCTATGTAACCCTTGACTGGAACCACCTCTCTTATTAAAGACGATTCGAAGATGTGCTTGTGTGTTTGTAGCACCCCTAGTTGACACCCCAGCAGAGTGTAACTCACCTCGAATGAGGGCAAAAGGCGCACACACACAGAGCACAAGGCAGAAGGAGGAGGCCCTAAATCTTATTCCATTGAGCACCTCACCACTTTTACTGCAGCCTATACTCCCTCTCGGCTTTTACTGCAGGGTAAATAAGTCGCTCTCACGGAGGGCTTTGTGACAGCATGGAAATGCCCTGCACGCTCATTACAACACATGAACCTGATGCTGAGGGAGAAGGGGGGATTGACTCCCTTGTTTTCTGCCTGTTTATCATTCATCCCCAGTCAGACAGTATTTGAAGCATGTGGACTCAAACGTGGACCACTATGCGAAAAGGGTAGAATAATTGGTTCATAATGGAAATGACGGCATTACATGTGCTAAACTGCATAAGTGTGAGGCCACAACTTTAAGTACTGATGCGCTAGATAGATGGACGCTTGGGGATCACTATTTGGCAAGCAATTTCTCACGCTGCGTCCAATTCTCCATATTATATACCCATCAATAGGCCATTTTAGTCCTTTCACAATATGGGTACATGCAGGAATTGCTATAAGTGATCTAAAGTATAAATAGCAGAGGCAAATATGACATTTCAGAGGATGTTTATAGGAAGCTCCAGCGAGAGGGGTTGTGATTTAAAGGCGGCCGGGAGGAGGGTGTCAAAATGAGCTCAAACGTAAATCATGGAGCTCCCTGTTGGGCACAGTGTGTAACACTGTATGTCTAGCACACACTTCCTCCTCTGTCAACTTTTACCGCCACGTCAAGGGGTGTAATGGTTAAGGACCACATAAACGGTGGTAACCGATGCAAACAAGAAATCATCAACATATGTGTGGCTTTATTTGGAAATCCTATAGTCCGCTTCCATGTCTTCTCCAATTAAAGCTGTTGGACATAATCCTTCAACTTTTGCACCATTGAAGGCTAACACATTCATGTCATTGGTGCTTTTTGTGGGTGACTATATACAGTGGGTATAAAAAGTCTACACACTCCTATTCAAATGCCAGCTTTATATGATATGCAAAAATGAGACCAAAATAAATCATTTCAAATTGTTTTCCTCCATTACTGTGACCTATAATTTATTCAAATCAATTGAGAAAGAAAATATTTTCGAAAGGGTCGAATAAAAATAATACACATCTGATATACAGTGACAAGTGTGCACACTGTTCTACAAATGGCCATGGTAGACGCTTATTAATTGTGGCCTCATTTTTTTAAAAACACCAAAACGTGGCCTTTGAGCAGGGGTGTGCAGATGTTTGATATGCTCGGTATATGTAATACATCTGTAACGAGGAATATAAAATAGAAAACTTGCCCTCGGAGAGGCTGACAATGTGTCTTGGGTGTATCAGGCCTTGTGCAAAAAAAGTAAACTGGAATAGGACAGGCGCTGTTGAAAATCAATTTGACTTGACATTTTGAAACCATTTTGAACTGATAAAAATGTCACCTAAAGACATTGCGTTAAGTAACATTATTTAATTTTTGTGGAGTTGATTTTTTAAAATGCTCATAGAGATGAAGTCTCAGGAGAAAGACTGCTGTGCATTTTAAGGGCCTATTTTTTTTTCAAACATTTTGGGCAAATTCCAACCTTAAACTTCAGTTTCACTCTTTTAATTTGTTCAACTTAAAATAAACATCCTGCTGGGTTAAAACCAGCAGGTTTTCATCATCCATTTTGAGGATGCTGCATGTGGTCTGCAGGGTATTATTTCCTGCAAGTATTTAAAACTGCATCGCCGATCCATCTTGAATGAATTTAAATGGATAAAATCAAACGTGATAGTTTCAGCTATCTGTGTGTAGTTGAGAGAAATCATGATCCATCAAATTTGTGTGCTTGATGTGTGAGATCAAAAAGAAGATCATTAAGGCTGTCACCTAATCCATATTTTCTTTTCATTCCGTCTGCCTTTGCACAAACACGAGGACCTTGACCAGACTTTGTGGGTTAAGATAAGATTTTGGAGATGACCCTCTCCCACCCACTGCTCGGCTGAAGTGGGCTGACTGTCATAATCGAGCAGGGCACTCGTGACCCCCACAGGCTCGTCTGTGATGACATCCCACTGACTGAGAGACACAGAGAAGCCATTCATTCCTCTCCATGAACAAACCACACACTTGTCAAAGGAAACCGATGATGATTTTTGGTCTCCTATTGCATGTTCGCTCCAAAGTCAGTTTCTTTTAAAAGAGCTTTGGCTCGGGGTTTTTCTGTGGTGGACTTTAAGTGGGCTCTCACGTAACACTATGACTAATACAGCACAAAGTAAACCCAGACAGTGCATCATTTGACGTCGAAATATGAACTTGAATGAAGAATTTGGACAGTGATGGAGTTGCATGACTTGGATTTGTTGACTCGCGTCCATCACTTCCAGATTCGTGGCAGTCAATGACTTCAATGTATTTGTATTCTATTTGAAAAATGATGCTTTATTCTAGATATAGTATGTCAAATGTCGAAATGCCTCTACCTGTCCACATACTTCCACATGTGATTTCTGAATGCTAAACGACATATTTTAGTGAAACAGAGAAAGACAAAATCCAAAGTCCACAACTTTGATCGCAGGTGTGTGTGGTGGATGTCACTGGATTTCATTCATAAATATCACGCCAGCCTGGGACAGTCCCTCTGAATCATTGTTGAAATCAATTCGTTGAACAAATTACAATCATTATCACCTTAAAAATGTTAAAATAGCACTCCCCTCACCCGTCACTACTGAATTGGGATTACACACAGACACACGATGGACGGTACAATGAACTCCCCTATGGCTCATGTCACATGCACGACCAACTGCATCATCCGAAAGGGGAGATGTTGCAGTTTACCTACCAACGTCATGCACGGAACCCAGCGAGTCTATTTCTGGTTCCGCAAATTTTCATCGTAACAGAAATACTCCCTGTGGTCCGTGCAAGAGATTGGCAAGCTCTCTCCTTGACTCGACTTGATAATTAATTTAATGAATGAATTTGGACAATGATTCAGAGGGATTGTGCCACACTGGTGTTATACTTATGGATGAAATCCAATGACATCTGCCACACACATCCGCGGAGCACCAAATTTATCCGACCAACTCGAGGTGCAGACCTGTCTAAAATGTAGTCCATTCTTTATTTTACCAAAATTTGCAGATGCGCCAGGGGACATCCGAGCACCAAATTTATCTGGCCAACTCGAGGTGCAGACCTGCTTTTCCAGAGTCTAAAATGTAGTCCGCTCTTTATTTTACCAAAATTTGCAGATGCGCCAGGGGGTGAGGCACGAACGCCCGGTGAGGCGTAGCGCGTCTACCAAAATCACAAACACACTGAACTGAGCAATTCCTAAGTCAAGTCATGCTATCTTGCTCAATCTGTATATCTACTTGTGTACATTGTGTACATTCTACTGGTGTACTCTGTCCCTGTAAGTAAGTTCCACAGAACTTTAAAAGCCAATCTGAGGGCTAATGAAAAAAAAGGATTTATGACTAAATGGATACGAAAGCGTCTTCGCGAAGTGAATGCTCCGTGTCAGTGAGTGGCAAGGACGATCTTCTCTTTGTCAAACTCCCTCTTGAATTGCGTGTCACATCCGAGTAAGGTTGATTAACACCTGCTTTCTATTATGTGACTTTCACATCAACTTCTCAGAACGGAGGGGAAAAAAAAAACCCTAATGCCAAATCACGTCGTGTCAAAGATGTTCCTAAATTAGAAAGCTATTAAAGAAGCGAGGGAAGATCCACCGCATGGCGAGGGCCGTCGTTTGTCTTCATTTGAGCGGGGGGCCTCGGTGATCAGCTCCACAGGGGCCGCTAATTGAAAAGAGGTGTCAGATATGTGAATGTTAGCGGCAATAATGATCTATCACTCTCGTCTTGTGGAGTCTTGGGAGTCATTTGTATTCATTAGTGTAGATTCAAATTATGCTTGTGATTAAAATGTGGCTCTGGCAGGCAGAGGGACCTCAGACTGGGACAGCCTCCGACGGAACCTCTGCTTCAGGTCACCGCCTTCAACATTGGCCTGCTCGCTCGGCATCAGACGTGTTTGCGCGACCACCATCAAT